TTAAAGCTTCCAGGTTATTCTACTGTGCAGCCCAGAGTGAGAACCACAAGAGAGGAGGTCTGAGCGGGGAGAGGGTTAGGCAGAGAGAGGCAGTCACGCCTCATTTTGCAGGTGGAGAAACTGAGGCTGGGGGATGAGGTCACTTACCCAGGGTCAGCCTGGAAGTAGCAAAGCAGGAACTTGAACCCCAGCCTCGTCCCCCACCACAGGGAGAAAGGACACAGCCCAGCCGGCCAGCAGAGTTGGCCATCTGCCCCTGCGTGATAAGCCACCACTCCTGCAACTCGATCTGGGGCAAGATCCTCAGCTGTGGGCCCCGGACGGGACCACAGGAGAAAGTAAAGTCACCTTCAGAAGAATTTTTCAACCCCAGGGTTGAAACAAAAAACGAAAGAATGTTTTTCTCTAATTCAAGGCCACTAGGGAAGTATTCCAATCCACCCACGCTCAGCCTCACTTGGCCTCATCATCAGAGTTTTGCAATTTTATTCTTTTTAATGAAATATTTCAGACGTACAGAAAATACACAAAGGAGTCTCATGAGCATGACTGCTCAGTGTTTCAATTAGGATGGACTGAGTTTTCAGAAACAAGATGTGGGTGAGAGCCTAGGGGCTCTAGAGCCAGACAGCCTGGATTTGAATTCGGGCTCTGCTACTGGGTAGCCTTGGGCAAGTGACCCCTCTTCTTCCAGCCTGTTTCCTCAGCTCTAAAATGAGGATAATTATAGTACCTGATTCACCACGTTGTCCTGAGGCTCAGATAAGCTAATACCTACCACTCAGCAAATCACATGGGTAGTGTTCTGTAAATGCAGTTTTTGCTACCACTGTTCTTTGGTTTTTGTGGGGTTTGTTTCATTTTCGTAGGGGTAGGTACTTCGGTTTATTTTATTTGTTTTAATGAAGGTACTGGGGATTTTACCCAGGACCTTGTGCATACTAGGCATGCGCTCTACCGTGCACTCTACCGCTAAGCTCTACCCTCCCCTCTTTGTTTTTATTATTTTTGATTTGGAAATGTCACAGACAGCTCCAGGACCAGCTGGAAGACACCGTGGAGGTGGGGAAACCCAGCCTGAGAGCAAGTTCTCCTTGTCCCAAAATTATATGCTGTGGTAAGTGTGGAAATCCCTCACCTTACCCGCTTCGGTTCTGATATTCTGGAGAAGACATCTAGAAGCTTGTGGTTAAAAAAACAAAAACGCAACCTGAAGTCCAGGGTGAGCGCACAGAAGGGGTTTTCCCAGCAGAGCTGAGAGTTTTGGTGCAAAGGTTTTAGGAAGAAAAGAAACCCTCTAGGAGCCCACTGTCAGAGGCTGCGTTTCTGGAAGCAGAGCCCAGTCCACCTGAGTCTGAAGCCCTCTCTGCTATATTGCTGTGTGACCTTCAGGAATCACTTAACCTCTCTCAGCTTCTCTGGTAAAAGAGGGCTGTCAAGACCCATCCAGAAGGGCCTTTGTGAGGAACAAATGAGATGATGGGCGTGAAAGCTTAAAATCACTTACGCCTATGAGAGAGCTGAGACCCCATGCCCCAGGCAGGGTGGGTGCAGGGAGCATGACTGGGAGGCCAGACTGGCCAGACTCCCCAGCCTCAGGCCCAGCAAGAAGGCGGAGGAGAGGTTGGGCTGACACATCACCTCTTCCCTTGTCAGCCTGTGGGAGGGGGACAGGGACAGCTTCAGTAGGCACCAGGTCCAGTCCCAGGGGCCCAAAGATCATGAATATCCTGAAAAAAGGAGGCAAAACTCATCCGCCCTCCCAGGCTCTTGACCTCCCAGCCCCATATCTGTTCTCCATGCTGAACCTCACCCTATGTGAGCCAGGACTCTCCCTGAACTCATCTGGGAACCCCCACCCCAACCTCCGTCACCAAGCACTCCTCGGGGTTTTCCCCAGTTATCTGGAATCCTTACACCAGCCCCATTTTTACCAACCAGAAAACAGCTCCAAGTCAGTAACTTGCCTGAGTTCTCAGAACTGCCCGAGAAGCGGTGCTGGGATTATGCTCCAGGTCTGCCTGAATCCAAAGGCCAGGACACTACACCCAGGAATTCACAAAGGTACTGACATCTGATAACGACCCACATGGTGAGATCTGCCTTTACAGCACTGTACTCTTGGCCTCAAATTCCCTTGGCTCTTCTCTGGCAAATTCCTACACATCCCTCAACGTCTCTACCTCCTCAATGCCTCCCCGTCCCCTCCCGACGTCCCAGGAGAGTGTCGCTGCCCCCACGGCCACCGCCCTGCTTTTCCAGTGACTGTGATTGTTGAGCCGAACCCCTGGGAAGAAGCGGTCGGTTTCCACGCCCAGCCCGCAGACTGAGCAGCCAGCTCGGTGCATGCAACGTTCTCAGCAGAAATTTGCAGCCTCGACCAGCGCACTGCTTCCTTCCCCAGCCCCGCCCAGCCTGGGGCCCCTCCAGAGTGCGGCTGAACCCCTGCCCCGCCTGAAACATCCGTTTCTCCTCCCTCGTCCTTTCACCTTAACCAGCCCCGCAGAGATCTGTCAAAACATCCGGCCAACTTAGAGGGTCCTAAAGGAGTCCTTAAGGGAGTCTAGAGTCAGAGATCAGAGCAGGCCCATCAGTTTCCTCTCCATCCCAGGGAGTTCGGGGAGCTGCCTTAACAACAGCAAACATTTGTCAAGCCCTGAGCGCCAAGCATTGGCACACCCGGAGTAGGGGTGTGGGGGCTGAGTCCCCTCGGTGCAGGCAAATAGGGGGGAGTTGCCGCAGAGAATTTTAAAACAATAATAAGACATCAAAAGTCAGTCTGCTGTTCTCATCACCATGTGCCAACACTTTTAAACAATATTAGTGGTATCCGTCTAAGTTCTAACAGATGCAGTTAGTGTTGAGATTTAACAATATATAAGTGAGATAAACAACAAGTTTATACTGTATAGCACAGGGAACTATATTCAATATCTTGTAGTAACTTATGGTGAAAAAGAATATGAAAATGAATATATATGTATGTTCATGTATGACTGAAGCATTATGCTGTACACCAGAAACTGATACAACATTGTAAACTGACTATACTTCAATTAATATATATATAACAACAACAACAACAACAATAATAATAAATATATAAGTGAGCTTTAAATTAGCACATTTTCATTTCTCATTCTTTGATAAACTTAGTCTTCTACCTGGAAGCTTAATCAGAGAACACTCAGTGATATGGTCAACCTCCATCACACACAGACTCAACTACATGTGTCTGTTCCAACAGTAAGTTCTGAACGGCTCAGAATGGTTCAAGTTCACTTTCCACAGGGCTTGGGCCGCCAACCCCTGTGGTCCTACATTTTCCTGCGTTTAAACAGAAGAGAGTCTGCTCGCCCAGGGCCAGAAGAAACCAAAAGAAAAGGGTTGAAAAGTCTGGATCAACTTCACCAAGAACTAGACTCTCATTCCAAAGCAATGGATTAAATAAATGTCAAAGTTCACCATCAATCAGTCACTTTCTCTGACTTTTGCAGAAGAAAAACTTGAAAGCATTTTGTCAAATGAGATTAAAAGTTATGATGAATTCTCTGGCGAAGATGTTTTAATGAAAATGTTTCAAATGTGGAGTCATTTAAAAACCAGTGTTTTTTTTTTTCTAAAGACATAGACACTATTGCATTTCCAGGAATTTATTATGAAAAGGGATTTTTATGGGTTTCCGACAAACTTATCCTAATGGTTAAGGCTTTTTCTATTTGTGTATCTGTTGTTTCATATGAGAGAAGCTTTTGAAATTAAAATTAATAAAAGGTATTCTTCAATCAATGTGAGCAAACATGGACTGACAGATCTAGCTTGACTGAACATTGAAAATGAACATGCAAAGAAGATGAATTTTTCCAAAGTCAAGGATAACTTCAGAAATTAAATTCCAAAACAAAAACTGTAATTTTTTTATTATTCATTACTGTGACCAACCTATATATATGTAAGAATAAGTTTTCTTCCAAAATACATTAATGCAATTAAAAACTACAAATCCATGACTATTTTCTCTTTTTCTGTTTATTTTAACATTGACTTTATTTTTCATTTTTTACTTTTTCACTGGCATAATTTCATGTACAAGGCTTAGTAGAAGAAACTTACTTTCTTTTCTGGCCATTGTTACAATTCATTGCATGATTATTACTGAAAATATTGCTGTTAGATAAAAGAGAAGGATATGTTTAAATGACATATCCAGGCATCAAATATGCCAAGAACACCCTAATGCCAGGCACTGTGTGAAGCCCTTTACATGAATTGAGATAATAATAATACAGAAATAATTATAATAATGAGTTACAGCTGAGCACTTAATATGTGTATGAAGCACTGTTCTGCACACTTCATAAGTATTAAGTCATATGACCCTCACTCTGGGGAGCAGAATGGATCTGAAACTTGATCAAAGTACAACAGCTATTGGCTCAGCAGGAACACAATCCCAGGTGGGTCAACCTCAAAAGCCAGGGCTCAGAACCTCTTTGCAGTGGGTCCTGCTGGGTTGAAAGGGCACATTGACTAAGCCCCTTTCTGATTTCGGAACCACATCACAGGTTAGAAATAGGAAAAGTGGGAGCTGGAAAGTTGCTGGCAGGGCTGGTCAGGAGGTACCTCAGCTGAGACCAGAAAAGGCACCTGCGGTCAGACCAGTGCAGCCCATGCAGGTGTTGGTCTGACTCTGGAAGGCAGCACAGGGTCTTGGAGGAGCGAGTCTCCCCTTGCTGCCTCCCTGTTCCTGTAGGTCCTGCCCTCCCGTGGGCCTGTTTCAGGAAGGGTGGCCTCCAAACCTGCCCACACAAGTACTGATACTGAGACAACGCCAAAGGGCTCCAGCTGACCCACATCTGACACCTGATGCCCAGCGGCTGACCAAGGGGTGGCGCCTACATCCTCAAGGATCCTCTCTCTGAAGTGATAACTCGGGCTCCGGAGCGAGTGCCTACTGAAACACGGTCCCCACCCCTAGCCCACGACAGCCCCACACTTACAATGAGCGCGCGCATCTTCTTGGGTGACGTGGATCCTCAATTTCAGGCAGGAGTTGGCTTTATCAGCTGCGGAGATGCCTGAAGCAGGGGGAGCAGGGATTTGCTATGTCATTAACGGGAAACAGCGTCCCCAAGACCTCAGGGTCACTGGCTGCTGGTGGGCAGACCGAGCACGATTGGTCTCCGACCCCTTAGGGAACAACTGCCTCACTCCCTGCGAGTTCCTCCGCCCCTCTCCCTATCCCTGCACTGGGCCTCGAACGGATGAATCCCTTGAAGGGGGCAGGGAGGCTC